CTTGGAAAATATTACAACCAATGCCAACTTGGTCAGAGAGGAAAAGCCAGGCAACTTGACTGGAGGCAGCTACAAATAACATGAACCCTCCTCACGCCAGGCAGTAAGTACTATCCTGTTATGTGCAGGATAAAGCAATTCAGCAACTGCGTTTTCCAGTTTACTTGCTACGATTCTCCCAGTGATGCTTCACATCTTATTTATTCTTTTAAATATGCAATATTTTGTGTTTGTTGACACTGAAGTTCAGCTGACATCTAATCACTCAACTGTTCAATACATCAAATCCTTCTACAATTCTCTACACAGCGTTAAAAAAGCAGCAATCATTGTAACCTATTTATATGCTTTCCAGATCATTTCTGTATCTACTGAACAAACAGTGATTTCCTTTCCGTTTTTTAACCCAGCTGTTAACCTATGAACAGACTTTCCCTAACTTTCCACGGAAGCTCCAAAGACTGCCTTTAGCAGATGATCCCATTCCAGTAGCTGAATTGAATTTTCAGGTTACAGATTGTGCTAGCCTGGATGAAAGTCCACACATGTAAAGAAGGAATTTGAAAAACTCATAGGGAATCCTATGATATTATCTCTAGCACATTGGCCAAATTTCCAGAACAGAGCTTGGAGAAAAATTAGCAGGCATAGAAAATTTTTTTAAAAACCCAATTAAAACACAACAAGCTTATGCTCTGTACCCCAAGGCTTAAAATCTATTTCCCAGAAGTAATAAAAAACAACTAAACATATCCTAATAGACTATGTACATTCTGTGACTAAAATACATTCTTTTCCTTGCCTCTCACATAGGAAGGCATAGCTTGAATTGAAAGGCCAAGAACTTTTAACCAGGCTCTGCATATATGAATGATAAGAGTGTATTACTGTGCCCACGTGGCCAGAAAAGCCAGTGGCATCTTGGCCTGTATTCAAAACAGTGTGACCAGCAGGGCCAGGGAGGTGATCATCCCCCTGTACTCAGCACTGGTGAGGCCGCACCTCGAGTGCTGTGTTCAGTTCTGGGCCCCTCACTAGAAGAAGGATGTGGAGATTCTGGAGCGTGTTCAGAGAAGAGCCACAAGGATGGGGAGGGCTCTGGAGAACAAGCCTGATGAGGAGCGGCTGAGGGAACTGGGCTTGTTTAGCCTGGAGAAGAGAAGGCTGAGGGGAGACCTCATCACCACCTACAACTGCCTCAAGGGAGCTTGTGGAGAGGTGGGTGCTGGGCTCTTCTCCCAGGTGATGGGGGATAGAACAAGGGGAAACGGCACCAAGCTGTGCCAAGGGAGGTTCAGGTCAGAGATAAGGAGGAAGTTCTTTACTGAGAGGGTCGTCAGAGGCTGGACCAGGCTGCCCAGGGAGGTGGTGGAGTCACCATCCCTGGATGTGTTTAAAGAGCGGGTAGATGAGGTACTTAAGGATATGGTTTAGGGGGTAGACAGGAGCGGTTGGACGTGATGATCTCAGAGGGCTTTTCCAACCGAGCGATTCTGTGTGATTCTGTGTGTGTATTAGTTCAAAACCACTGCCCCTGCAGAAGTCATATTCAGGAAAACAATTTGTTGTGTTCTCACCGCCTTCCAGAGCTGCCCAAGCAGATAACTAACTGACATCTGGCAGCCAGAACTCCCCAGACCAGTGTAAAGAAGAGGTGTGAATGACTACATAGGAAAAAGGAATATATGATATCAACCGAAAGATTTCCAAAGCACCACACAGTCTGTTCTATTCCAGACTAGTGGGGTCGTCTCTAAGTCCAGCAGCAGGTACCCACAGAGCACACACTTCTGAACGAGAGAATTATCTTGAGAGCTTATCTTCCACATGCCACATACAAATACACATCTCTCCAACCCAAGGAAAGGGCAAATCTAAAAAATCCTCTCCTCAGTCAATGAACTCAAATAAGAAAGGACTAAAATCTATCTCATTTTCTTGGGACCAGAAGTCAATAGTGATGCAACACTTCCAAACCAAGGAACATTTTATATGACTTAAGAATCAGAATGGCCTTGTTGAAGCACAGTTTAGCAAAAAGGGAATCTGCAAGAATGTCCACATTTAACCCAGAATTTTCCACATTGTTCACTTCTCAGACACTTGAGCTTTGAACCCTATGGAAAGAGACTGCATGTCACCTAATTGCACAGCATTTACTGCAATACAGCTGTAACCTGGAAAGGAGGCTCGTGATGCAAATAAACACCATCAAAGCCACCAATTCAGCCTTCCAGAAAACTTAGATAGAACTGAAGATGTATCATTATAAGCAATCTTTTCTTTACAGAACGTAAGAATAACTCTGAACTCTAACTCCTAGTGTAATGATGAATATGATCAGACCTTACTGTACTGTTAGAGGTCTGATGAGACAAGTATTTTAAGACAGAGTACAATGAAGCAAAAATAAACACTTATATTCAGTTAGAATTCAGTAATTTTCAAATTAAAAGAATTAAAGGCGATGTATGTTCATCTCCAACAGAACAGTCAATGATGAACTTCTCTCAGTCCATTTAGAAAACCCAGCCTCATTCATTGATCAAGCTGAAATCAGAAAACCTAAAACATCGCCCCAAACCAAAACCTGCCCTTTTGCTCTTGCAAGTTCCCTCTCACGTAACATAAAGATGGTTGATAATGGGTATCAAGCATCTATTCTGATTATATTAAAGGACTGTTCTTCATCGTCCCTTAAACTCGTGCAATCAGGCATTTCTCCTTTTTGGTGAGCTGCTAGAAAACAATAAACATTTCCTAGTTTCCTGCAGTAGTTTCTGCGGCTGATAAAGCAGTACATAACGTCGCCTTGAACTGCTGTCCATCAGAGCACTCTTCGTTAACATCAAATATACAGCTTTCTCTTATTAAAGTTGAAAAAAACCCAACAGAAGCACTAGAAGTTACTCAACACGAACAGCTTTTCCCAGTAGGTGGAGATGCCCAGTCTTTCAATAAATCTGCTGACTGTTTAAGAAATCTTTTCAGAGCAGATAAGTGAAGACCTGCTGGGTGTCTCAGTGGTGATTGTCTTTTTTGCTGTTACTGAATAGGTCTGAGCGTTACTGAATCAGCTAACAGGGTGTGAAGCTAGACAACGCAAATCCAGAAGAAAGTAAACCCACTATGTTGTGATTACAAAAACTGTTATTGACTTGCTTGCATGAGTTTGTGCTTTCAGAAACAGACTGGAGAACACAATTCCGCAACAAAATAATGTAATTTCTGCAGGGAGAACACAATTCCGCAACAAAATAATGTAACTTCTGCCTCAAATTTATCCAAGTAGATGTGAAACATTTCCAAATATTGGTCATAAATATCACACAGTTCAGCCCAGAGACAAGGGGAAAGGCACGATGTATCTTCACAAGACACAGCTAATGCACTAGATCTAAAACATGAAAAGAGTTGTATTTGTTCTTCAAGAAAAGAAAGTGGCAGTAAAGTTGTGGCAGTTACCAGGATCACCAAATTTTGTTAACTTCAGCGTCCTGATTTGAGGGACCTGTTGTCAAAGACCGATGCAGATCAATGGTTCACGTGTGCTGGAGTGCCAGCAGAGAGCTCTCCACCAGAAAAGTGGGCAGAGTGCTTTCCAACAGAGAGGCAGTGAGCAGAGCTTGCCACCAAGTATATGACAGTTCTGCTGTTTTCTCATTATGTCATCTCTTCCCCAGCCTCATCTCTTTTGGACCAGGACCAGCTTTCATGTGTGTTTACAAAGGCTGCTCGCTTTCAGGGCCTATAGATCTCAATTAAATACAAGTAGTAAACTGACACTGCTGCAGACTGATTATACTAAAATGTGCATAAGCCACACTAATGTTTTTCAGCAAATAGGCTGAGGTAAAGATGACATCTTGCTAAAAAGCAGTTGACAATTTTACTTTTAAAACGAAGATTAAAATACACCATCTTTCAAGTTCTAACAAATGCTAACACCTAACAGTCACAGGACTGTATCAACCTAAATAGAGTATGTGAGGAAAATAAAGCAGCTCAGAGGAAACATCTCAGTGAGAAAGCAAGCAACTCAGACTTTGCCAGGACCTTAAAAGGTATTTCTCAGATGCCTGGGCTGCTATCAGTGCACTGTCATTGAAACTTACCTTGGAACACCACCTTTTACAACTGCCTCTGACTTGCGGGTGTCTCATAAATCTGAGACACACATCTCATTCCAACTGCTGGATGATGAAAGCAGCTTCTGAGCAGTCACTTACTACAGGTAATTTATCATAATATGCTTGGGGGTACCTTGGGATGTTACATTAATAAAGAGATAGTGTAGCAGCCTCAGATATGTTATGGTTGTGACACAAACTGAATGTTCTTTCTTCAGACTTCTAAGTGTGAGAGCATATGGAGTATTTGTCTGATGAGATACAGAGATTTATCTGAACAGCAGACATTATAAGAACAAATACTGGATGAATCAAGGAGCACATATAGAGAGTGTTTAATCTTTAGCATGCCAGCTTGAAACCGTAAAGGTCAAATGAAAACAAGCATCTAAGTGATGCTAAGTGTAAAGCATCTGCTAAATGAGTCGATGCATACTTCAAGTATTTCAGGAACTGCTGCTATATTTTATATCTCTGTTGGTAAAGTGTAAGACATGATTAAAAACAAAGGTACACTAAGCGCTACAAGAAGGTTAAGGCAATAAAAGTATTAAAAAAAGTCACAAAGTATTATAGAAGTGTTATAAAAATAACCTCCTGATAACAAAGACTGTTAATCTGTTCCCTTTCACAAGCCAATGAGGTGATACTGTAACTCCCTATCCTACTGGTGAGCTTCATAAAAATCTGATTTCAGAAAGTTTGACCACATCCCACATCTTCTTCAAGAAAATCACCTTTTTCTCCTATCAAAAGACTAAAATGCGTGCAACTGGTGAGCTCTTTTGAAACGCTGCATTGGACAGTATGAGAAACATGTTTGGTTGGTTGTTTGAACCGCTGTTTCTTCACTAAAAGTTGGGTGAAAGCTCATACCTGGGGCCGCATCCTTGGGTTCCATCTGACGTAGTAGTTCACCCATAGTTCCAAATGGTTCAGACTGGCAACAGGATACAGGACGTGGTTTTCATAGTTTACGTAGAAGGGATTTGTGAACTCATCTAACTGGCTGTTGATGTAGGACCACAGCGATACAGTCCTTGTGCTTACCTCCTGATGGAAAAAAATACAAAATACGGATTACAAAACCGTAAAATATGAGGTTAATATCTACACATCAGTAATTCTGTCCATGAAATTTACCTTACCTACTAGAACACTGCAAGCAATCCGAGAACACTTCCAGTAGCCGCTCATTAAACTGCCTTAAAATCTTACCATAACATTCAAAGACTTTTTCTGGTCCGAGGCTAACTGGCAAAGGAGATTCTGGCACGTTAGTTTCAGAGACATTAAGGTCTAGCTGAGCAAAAGCAAGCTGTACTGCTTGTAATTTACAGCAATGTTTACAGCAACTTAAAACTATGGTTACACACTGAACCACTAAAAAAATAAAATTAAATTAGCTTTGACAAGAAAATCAGTGGAGATATGTAGTCCTGAAGATCCAAAGCAGCATCCGTGAAAAATGACAATTCAGTTCTCCCACTCAACGCTATTTGCTCCTATCAATTGATTATGCTTCAAAATGCCTATTTTATCTTTATTTGCACTTCTGAAAGTTGTATTATTCTAAATGTAATCAGCATAATCATGGTTAGATCAAAGATTGGAAATCCGAACTTACATCAGATTCATCTTGCAATTTTCCTCTCCTTCAATGTAGTAAAGCACATGTTTCTACTACTGCTGTGGCTTAGATTGCATTTCCTGATTGAGAACTGCATCTGACTATTCATTTATGAAAGAAACCTGGAAACCCTGCATCTGCTGAGAACACGTTATTCAGCTCCATCTTGTGGCATTGACATGCAACTTTTTTCAGATGTAGTAGAGACAAACCGAAATATGGCACAGAATTGTTACTTGCTTTAAAAAATATTATGTAGTAAAAACAACAAAGCGAAAAGTTAACAGGTGTACTTGGAAAAATTAACAAACAAATGGTTTTTTTTCCAAACTTAAAGCATTTCATAAAGTCCTAACTTCATTCATTTAGATATTGTAAATGTCCATAGTCTTCAACCACAAGTTCCATCCAATTACATCCTACAGTGACCCGCAAAGTCATCCATATGAGTTCCTTTGGAACCAGAGAAATAAATGCTAATATAATTTGGTAACGACTATTTTAAATTGTTTATGCTGGCTAGAAATATCTGAAAGAGGACTTTCTAAAACTCTCAAACCCATAACAGATAATAACTAAAGAAAAATAAGTGCCACCTCATGTAATAGCAGGGCATCCCGTAAATATTTCTCGTATCATGAAGTTTCATGTCTGCACTGTCCTTTAAGACTACATGACAAATGTAATCAGAAACACAGCTCGGGGCTTCTTAGGTCTTGTATTCAAAGCGTTTTCACAGAAAATCAACAGATTAGGAATGTGTATCACACTAATTACTTACCTCTTTTAGTCTCTCTTTTTCACAGTTGCATAAGAAAGTCCCAAAGAGACAACTGTAGAGGTGATCCAGAATGGTGATCAAAAATAACTCATTGAATTCAAAGGCTGCAGGAAACTGAAATAAAAAACTGGTAAGATTACATCAAACTTTATTTTAAGCAGCGTAGAAAGAAAGAAACTCAGACATAAGAAACAACTAAAGATTGAGAGAAGATTTTTTTTCTCATTTAGTGATTATTTTCAGGAAAACTCAGCAATTCCAGTAACTCCCACTGCAATAACACAGTTCACCTACATAGTTCTTCATCGATACTCCTTGGAATCAAACCTTGCATTCATTATGCAAGTATACTAGGGTACAAACATAAACATTAGCTAATGTGAAACTGGCGACACAAAGCAATCCACTTTAAGAAGCTCTAACAGTATTCAGTTCTAACCCACCCCAAACTGCCTTCAACAGATGCTTTATTTCTCTCGCTACAGGACAAGAAATCATTTTTGTGGAAGGAAAAAGAAAAAAGATTATGACATTGAAGAGTTATTTCCAATTCTAACATGTAATGAACTGGATAATAGAGACTACTGCACACACAATGTGCTTAACATATATTTAAAGTTCTTTTTCTAGACAAGTAAGTTACTTTTCTCCATTTCACCTCCGGAGTTTACCATCAGCTATGTACAGTAAGCCTTTAAGCTCTCTTCTTTTGTATTGGCAAGTAAATCCCGTACATATGAAACGAAAGAACTGTTATTCCACTGAGCACCACTACGTCCTTTATTCACAAGCAGAGGTTACCCACAGCATTCTAGGAAGAAAAGATTTACACATTTGAAAACACTCAAAATGTTTAAGATATATCTTAATCTGTAGTGCTGTAAAAAGCACAGAGGAAGAAATCAATGCAAACTGCACGGGCTGCTACCTATTCAGATGGAAAAGGTCCTTCCTTCAATCAAATTTTACGATAGGACTACATATGGCAACCGCTTGATGTGTCAAAATAACTTTGCGTTCATGTGACAAGGGTCTCAAACACAGACACAGAATGATAAACATTCGGGAGAATGAAAACATTTAGAAGACTAAACGAAGATTTAAGAAGTAGCATTTCTCTCATTACCATGAAAGAGAACGTTATAAGAGACTACTTTTCAGGACAAATAACACAAATTTTGTTCATCTCCACTAAAGGATTCATCTTTACAGAAGTTTACAATGCCAAGTTACAGATTCATAAGGAAGAATTTTCTGCTAGATGGAGAAATCTCCAGTCAGCATTTCAGACCTGAGGACAGCAGCGGGCTGGTTTCTATTACATGCCACTGCACAATACTGAGCACCTTGGCATGAGTGACTCAAGAGCTACTTAAAGTAAAAAATAAGAAAGGCAACAAGTATAGCTAGAAGGAATAACACAGCAATTGGGACTGCGGAAGAACAAGTTGATCCAGAAATCCCTCTTAAGTGTCATCTGGGATTTCTGAAGGGCAAATGTTTATTCATGCTGAAAGAGGTGAATAAGACACAATGGATGTGCTTGTAATAAAGGAAGAAAGATCGAAGTTTTAAGCAATGTTCTTTTAAAATATGATTAAGTAAAACATTGCAAAAAACGTATTTTCGAGACTTCTCAAGCTAAGATGTAACAACTTCCAAAACTGAAAATTCCGAGTAAGGAAATTATCAGTACTGTGGCTCACAAAATGAAAGGGAGCCTTCTTTCTTCTGACTCTGCTACGGATTGCGCACTGTTCACCAGCACGGCACGCTCACACTGAGGCTTCTCTCTCAAATCACTGGCTTGTTTTCAAGCCCCTAGCCATTCGTTTAGTTAAAAAATACAGGAACCTAAGATTATCAAACATTCCTTTTCAGTCATGTTCAAAAGCTATCACTTACAGCACTTCCTCCTCTCTAGGAAATCATGCCAAATCTTAATTACAATAATGTTAACAACACAGCTACGATTTTAAAAAGGTATGAAAGGAACTTGGTAAGCAGGTGTGGCGAACCAAGTCAGGAGAAAATTGCATGGATCTTAGACCTCAATCTCTTGTGTTCAGCCCAAAACAGCAGTCAGATACAGAGAGCAAAAATAATTTGCCAAGGATCAAAATGATATTTGGAAATAACTTTGAAGACAAAGCCTCTCCTACAGGGACTCTCTTTAACTGAAAGCACTTAATGAGCCTTGTCACATCAGGGTTCTGTGTTGTGACGGGTCCATACTAATCAGATGGATGCCAACACGGCCGCTATTCCAATCCAGTGAAGCATATTCAAAATTCCATACATCAGTGGCTGCACTGCAACTGATTTATTAATAAGTGATAGCACGTTATTGAAACCCTGTCTTCGGATACAACAGTTGTACTGTTGGAGCTGGTGTATCAAGACTCTCAAGCTTCTATTGCCGCTGCTGAAAAATCACTGACCTAAAAATGCTTTCCTCCGTAGTTCCAAGCCCATTAGCGTCTGTTTGAAGATTCAGGTGGAAAAATTCCCCAAATGAAAATTTGCTTCTTGTCAAATCCGCTAATTGTGAGAGACCACATGGGTCATTAAAATCTCCCACTTGATGCTGCTGGAGCTGTTCGGGGTTTTTGTATAGGAGGTATTTAAAAGAAGAATCCTCTTGTTTAAAATTCTGATGACGCCAAGTGACTGATTCGGAGACATGCAAAATAAACTTGCTGTTTAATCAACAAACTTATTCTGCACTACAGGAACATTTAAAGTCGAAACACTTGGTGGAACAGCACGGTTGTGGAATTGGACTCAATCAGGTTAACTGAGCACTACACACCACAACAGAGGACTCCACTTAAACGACTGAAAAATCTCTGGCAACAGATGACATCCAGAAACAAACAGGATGCAACTTTCTCCCAGCTTTAAACATACCTACCTCCTATGTGGGTATTGTGCAGGAAAGGCAGAAAGCTGCTACTTGAGCTGCAATGCTACGTGTACGTTTTACAGATTTAATTTTTAACAGTATTTCATCGGATCACACGTGGCCTTTCCAATTTGACATCTGCTATTCAAAATCACCAGAATTTACTAACAGAGGAGGGAAATCTCTTCACCATATGTTTTTTTTATATTAAAATCTGATACCAGCGTACTTCTCTCAAGTTCTCCATTACTGTATTCAGGTGTCATGAAGACCATAAAAAAACAAGGGAAAATAGGAAGTTGTCAAGTATTAAGTTTCATGGTCTGAAGCTATCTGGAAACGTTTATCTTAGTGGGAAGTTAGAGGTTCTCTCACTGTATTAAGTCGGCCGTTTTCAGAACGTAAGAGAGAATTTGCTTGCTTTGAGCTCATGCCCAAACCCGAGTCCTTACACCCTCCTGCAGTCATTAACGCTCACTTGAGCTTTGGAGCACTTCACAGATGTTTACCATGGATTCCAAAGCATGAAACTAGCACTGTTTTATGAGCAAGTGATCTACACAAGGATAAAACAGAGCCCTGGTTTTCATAGGTCCATGTCAAGGTAATCAGAGTCTTTTCTCTAGGTGTTGGGGCCAAGTGAAAAATAAGTAGGCAAGAACTCTCCAAGAATGACATTTTCAATTTTTTTCCTGCTGTAACATTAATGATTTTTCAATGCCACTGCTGTTCATGAATTTCAGAACAGTTTCTGGATCCAGGTTTTGAACAGATGTAGTATTGGCAAAATATTTCACAGATTTTCCCCTGCCCTCTGTCCCTTTTAATAAAAAAAGATAGAGAGAACTAAACTGTTTATAGAAAGAAATAGGAGGCAGCAAGAGAGGCCACAAAAATAGAAGAGGCTGCTCTGAATTAAGGAACTCCCCAGAGGACTTTTGTTACTACCAGGTGTTTAAAACAGCTTCTCCTTGCTATTGTTGTTAGCTTTCCTCTGAGAGAGGGGCAGAAATTTTCATTTATTTTCTCCGGTCATACTGAACAGCACAATAATGCTGAAGTACATATACACAGGAAGAGAAAGTCTTCAAGGGAAGCTGGACAAGGGCCCAGTAGTACAGAAGGGAACGTTCATAAAGCATTGAAGATGACTGCTTTGAATACAATGCTTTGAATACTACTTTGAATGTTTTGGAAACTATGATGTAAGTTTTTAAGAACCACGTTCAGAACAGGAAGACTAACGTAAGAGACCTGGGAGTGCCAGCATGATACGGAACCAGACTGTTACCCTCTTCTCTTCAAAACCAATCATAAGAGCACAGAGCTGTATTAGGCTTCAAGGAGGTTTAGAAAAAAAATGAAATAAAAAAAATTTGAGCACTTCTAATTTACTTGGAAATAAAGCCTTCGTGTGGACAACCAACTTCACTAACAGCAAAGAATAGCAATATAAAAGCTCAGAAAAATGTTAAGTTTATGCTTATGGAAGTACAAATAAGGAAAATGAAAGCTAAAGCCATTCTACAATTTAACATATTCAGAAAAAAATAGAGACTTTTAATATTCTGATACCTTAATTATCACTAATTTCAAAGCTCTCTCCTGATTCAGAGGTAAAAGCAGTGTTGGAAGTAAGAACACTTACCTGACAGCAGGTTTGTCTGTTAGAAATGCTGTCCTGTATGCATGATGCCCACATTAAGTTACACTTCACAACTGACACATACATTGAACCGCCCTGTCTTCCCCTCAGTTCACAACCAGCCTGGATTTGTTGCTGTTTCTTAAGGACAATACAAATCCATGTGAACATTTACTCCACCAGTGAACATGCAATGCAAATGACTCATCAATAGCCCTCATTTAGGTAATCAGAGAATCCTTTGAAAGCCTACTTTAAACAAAAAGGATTCCTGCTATTTTGGGTTCAGGTCATTACTTCTGCTGTAGCTCCTTGTACCTCACTTGGAGTGAAAAGTTTGCTTCTGGATGCACGGTGCAGCCATAGCACGACCAACTTCAGGAAAGCGTGCTACTGTTCTGCAAAGGAATGTGTTCTCCTGCATGGATCACATTCCCAAGATAAAGACCGAGATCTTACAGAAACATACTCTTAAACATCTTACCTGCTTTGTCATTTGCCAAACACAGTCAATGAACTGAAGGAAAATGGGAGATCTGTCTGCATCAGCATGATCATCATCTCCGTGCCCTACTCGCTGAAAGTCAAAGCAAACTCTTAATTTCAGTCTAGTGCACTTACAGTACCACCCCAACCCTTTAAAGCTGAGTAACTCTTATTATGTTCTGACGATGAATGAAACAAGCAATCGTACTCAATGCTAACCTGTATTTTTCAACTCCTAAAAATGCATCCCAGTTTTCACTTATGGATGTGCCTTTGTCATTAAGCAGAGCTTGAAAGACACCTGGTCAACAAAGCTGTGCCAGTTGTTTCCCTACCTTTCACCGCGCAGCCATTTATTTCTAACAATGGGTCAAACTGGGAAGTATTTAGGGAGACTGTGCTGGAACAACAATTATTCCATACCCACCTGTCACAACTACACGTCATTTCTCCTTAGAGCCCACAAAATGTCATAATAATTTATGTTCTAATTCCCTACTAGTCCATGTGTTAAATAAACACTTCAACCTTAAATCAGAGTAATGGGTCCAGCAATTTTACGTTCTAGACACCTTACTTGTTTTCCTTGTTTCTCCATTCATAAGACTGTTAAAGATGAAGCAATGTGCTACAGTCGCTCTTCCTCATAAAAAAGCCACGTGATTTTTTTTATCCATTATGATAAAGTGACTTAATTCTCATTTACTTTATATTATACCTCACACACAGATTTCCTGTTAAAAATGAGCAAGCCACAATTCTCTGATGCACTCACACCATTAAAAGAAGGACACCAGAGATGACTAAAATGCAGCAAAGTACCATGAGAAAACATACTATTCAAAATAAAAATCTTGGAGGCGACAAACTGCACACTAAATCTCTCAGCTTACCATTGCAAACCGGTGTCCAAAACTGATCCATTCTTTCTCTATCAGAACTTCAAACCCCTTGATAGTTCTGTAATAGCTGTCCAGCATAAGCATAGCCAGCGCAGTAAGCTGTGCCGTCCGATCCCAGCCGTCACTGCAATGCACCACTACAGACGTTTTACCAGATTCAATTTTATCTGCGATTCTGACTGCTCCAGCAAGAAGCATCTTAAATAAACAAAAATAAACAAACAAGCGTATTAAATAGTAACCAAAGTGCCACCGTAAAAGAGTTATAATTTTATCCTTTTCAGGTTAATGTACATTAAAATTACAGAGTAATAACATAATCATCAGGATGACATTGCTTTACATTAGGGATTTCCAAATGGTGGTATGAATACTCCTAGAGGAACTAAAACAGTGTGCACTCTGTTGTCCAGGAGAGAGTTCTTACCAGCTCTCCATTATCAGTAGCACGTAGCAAAAGAGCCAGGGAATCCCTTCTCTAAATGTGAAATGCTCTATCGTGATGAAAAGACACAAATACTGTAACCTATTCCAAAGGCTCCATGCTTTCAAAGTTCATTTTCACAGCAGTCAGTCACTCACTCTGCCTCAGCTTTCAGTTCTCCACTACTAAGTTTAGAGAAAGGGACAAACTACCCAGCTAATCCAAATCGAAACAAAACCCAAACAAGCCCAGGAATCCCTGGCTGGGAGCCTGTGCTGATTTGTTGGTGCATTTGTTGAACCCATGAGCAGACCATTAACAGCGGGGGTTCAGAAAGATGCTGGAGAGCAGGAGGAGAGAGATGGCACAGGACTGAGGTCCCCTGTGTGAACTTCTCTCCCACAAAAAAACCCCAAACCCTCTTGTTCTCTTATGTTACTCTGTAGTTTATTTAAAACCTGAGTAATCTCTCCTGTGAAGATCTGTCTCTGTAATGTGACCTATCATGGCACTGAAAAATATGTGAAAAAACCCCAACCACTAGAACAGGAACACAGGAGAAATTCCTATTCCGCATTCCAACAGCAGAACATGGAATCTTGCAAAATACTTGCATTTTTCCCTTTCCAGGCATGTAAAAAGGAAGCATCCATTGGAGAAGCCATGTACGACACCACTCTTCAAAGCTATTCGAAGAACCGTGCTTTAGAGACAATTTTCATTGCTTATATCTTTCACTGATTTTATGATGCCAGGATGGAAACACCAGGAAACAACACAAAACCTTCTATGGGAGAACAGAGCTTGTGGTCTGAACTAGTTAAATGCCAATTACTTCAGTTACAAAGATCTACTGCACTAAAAAAGTGCAAACATTAAAACAGTTTCGTCTCCAATGAAAGCAGAAAACTGCTCTATATAACATACAGGCATGCAATAGCTTGCTCTAAATTGTCCGAAAGAGAACACAGATGCCTCTGAGCTGAAAAGAAAAAGGACAGAACAGATACAGGCAATAAGCAGAGAACGGGAGACAGAAAAAAGTTACTATTAATTCAGTAAGAATCTATGGAGCAGGTGAAGTATTTTATTCTACTTTGGACAAAAGCCTTTAGAAAACAGCTTCCTCCACAAACTATTATTATCCTTTATAGATATTTCAAAACTTAGCAGCCACCACAGTATTTCGACTTAATGATTAACTGGCTTTGGATTGGTATAGAAAATGAGAATTGGTTTAAAAATAATTAATAGCGGAAGTTTTACTCTGAAAGACAGAAAATAACCTGGAGGGCATGAGAGCATTTACACTCCCTGGGTGTGTAAAAAGCACCAAGTGTCCCTACTCCTGTTGTCACTGGTGTCTCCCCAGACGCTTCTCTTCAAAGTGCTGTGGGTGTCCAGTGCTGCAGTGAAAAGGTGAATGTCCAGTAATGCACTGCATTAAACCAAGACACAACCACACTGGTCTGAGCCCAGAAAGCAGAAGCAGCATTACAATAAAGCTGCGGATTTGTTAATTGCTATTACAAGTCAAAGCAAACAGGCAAGGCAGGCAATTGTTAGACAAAAGCACAGGGAGGTACTGTCAACACTGGTAACCCAGTAATGGCAGCTTTTAAGACATCAGGCTGCAGTTTGTGCTGTCAGTACCGTAACGTGAACTATCACGTAAGGGACAGATTGATGAAGAATGTTACACGTGTGCCAACTCTTTAAAAGAATTTAAACGAAATTTCCAACTGCTGCACTGTTGTCCTCTGCAACAGTGGTAGCAAGGGCCACTTCTGACATCGTCTAAGCCACCCCACTGAAGTCCCTGCCAGTGAAAGCTAATCATGTGCCCAAAACACTCCACTTCTAAAACCAGACTATTACATGTAAGCCCAGGCTGATAAGAAAATGTTTTCCAAATATTCAGATCCCCAAAGCTGGTTGAAATAGCCCAACTTCAAGAAAACAAGAAAATTAAAATACTCCCAGAAGATTAAATTTGTTTCTTAATTTAAGCGTTTACTCCCTCTGCTGGTTCTCCTGCAGCAGTCAGCAAGCACCAGGAAGTTAACAGGAAAGTAAAACTAATGAACAAACCCAAACATGTTTTGTTTGAGTGACATTTGAGCCAGTTGCTAATAAAACAAATTCCACTTCACCCATATTCCTCATAAACAGGACAGTGACCGCAGTAATGAAATAATCTATTCTAAAAGCATTTCAGAGGTTAGTGAAGCAGATTGTAAAACTGAGTGTGGCAGTGATTTATTTTAATATTACATTAAATAGTAGAGCAGATTATAACCCAGGAGTGCACTGACTATAAACAGCCCCTGAAAACGTGGGTGCCTGACACATGAACACTGACACTGCATTGAAGGAGGGAAGATGAGAAAGACTGCAGAGTTTACAGTCAAGTCCTTCTGGCAGTTTTTCAAATGTAATCTGAAGTTCCCAGGGCATTCTTCCAAAAAGCAGGGATGACCCTGGACTGCTCACAAACGTTCCCTCTGAAGAAAGTAAAACATTGTCCAACACTAAATACGACACCGTGCTATCAGAAATTAACTCATTACCCACCAACATGTAAAACTGGAAATACAAAGTTATGACAGAATGCCTGAAACGCTGCGTTCTGAGTGACCATTTAAAAATTAACTTTTAAAAAACATTATCCTGCTCAAAACAACATGCTTAAAACTAGACATCATTTCAGTAATATTTTCAGAAATGCAAGTTAAAAACATGGTTTTAAAAAAACCAATTGATATCTGACATCAAAAGTATTTTACCCTTATATATTCCAGCCAATGTGTGGAGTCCACATTTGATAACCACCGAGTCTCATCAATAGTAGGATAAACTATTTCTTTAAGCTTACGCAGGGATTCTCTCATTACATGTATATTATGAATTTCCAGAAAGACCAGCTCTGCATTTGGGTAGGCACTTTCACTTTCATATCCTCCACCTTTTGCCTGTCATTCGAAAAGTAAAAACAGACAAAGAAAAGAACATGTACAGGACTTCAGCATAAGGTTGAGAGACTTATTTTGGTCAGATCTCAGGTTTTTCTGAGATAAAAGATTATGACAGTACTAATAAAAATGTGGGTTTGGGTTTGTTTTTCCAAGAAGCACCAGGGGTATTTTTTTAGGTGAAAGAAATTCTAACTGTAACAGGCTACATTTGCTACTACATCCACGCACCTTCCCCTTTTTACTACTGAAACCTTTGGCCTTCTGTGGGCTTTAATGCATCATTTCTAATGCATGTCTTGATGCTGCCTTTAATTCTTGCCAGCATTTCCAAAAATGCAACAAGCAGCTTATGCCCTCTTTAGAGACCCTTTTTTCTCTCTTTTCAACATCAAGTTCTCCTCATCCTCACCTCTTAATCTTCAGCCTTGTAATAAAGATAGCTATAGAGATAATGCTAGTTACGATACCAACCTACCTTGTTTGTATCTGCAACACTATTCTGTCTGGCATCAAAGATTATAAGTTTATGTGACTGAGCATTGGCATCCATTATTGTCTGCAAATATTTTTCATCCTCTTTGCAACGCTTATCGTTTGGGCCTACTGATGGCTGACTGCATCGTGTTATTGTTGCTTGGCTCTCAGGATGAATCCAGGATAACACCTGGAATAAAAGAAAATCAGTTTAGTTTACTGTGCTACTATAAAAGCAGCAGGCCAGGGTGCAATTAGACAGCGACACAGCCTACACAGCATTACCTCCTGGGAAATCAACAAATACAAGTTTAAGGATAAGCTGATGCAAAACTATATTGACAGCACACTAGCATTGCTCATCCCAAATCTGAGCTTGATTCTAAACAAAATTATTCTATACGTCTTAGCTTTTATTTCTAATAAAACTAAGGCTGCTACTGCATCTGACTCATTAGGAAGAAAAAAAAAGCAATGAGGGAAAAAAACCTGCTTCCATGTGGAAGTCCATAGAGCTGTACACTACCTTGCCAAGCAGACCTATAGCATGAAACTGTCACCATCGAACACACTTAAAGGGGTTCTTATGTTGTTACTTGCAAAACTTGTCATTCTCAAGAAAACTACTATGGCTGTAACACATTCCACACCAAATCACAACGTCAGCTAATATGAATTAGCATCAGACACCATTGTGGCTTAGAAGTGTTAACTCCAAATAAAAATTTATTATATGGCACAATAACCAAGCAATCAGACTCACACCTGAGTTGCTCTCTTGAATTCTAAACCCATGGAGCTTAATTCTTCCTTCTTTGCTCCCTTCCTTTCAGGAAGGAAACAAGCACACTGTAGTTTAATTAAAAAAAACCAGCCTCAAAGAAGTCTGATAGTTTCTTACGAGCTACAGATTTGTAGAGCACTTATAACTGCTTATGAAAGTTTCACTTACTGGAACTCTGCCTTTCGCTCTAAATGCTGCCACTTTTGAGAGGTCATCATCCTTTACACTGGTTGGCACAACAAGAATAGCAGGATATGTATCGCAAAGCTCATAGGTGCTGTTAATTTTGGATATCTTCCAACTCTCATTGGGCAAGCCCTGTACGAAAGGAAAGTATTCTTTTGAATAGGCTGCACACAGGTAAAAAGTGATCATAGAGTGAAAGAAAAACACTTTTGCAACTAGAGAGCTGTAGATTTACAATGACAAACAGTTACTCTTCTGTTTAATGCTGCTTATTCGAAACCAAATTTTTATAAAGCCCGTATCTTCTAGAAGCAGCACTTGGAAAACGTGGATTTAAGAATGCACGGTAAGGCAGACAAATTTGCTCAAGTGCTCAGCACCTGTTACCTCCATCAACTTTAGCAGGTGCTCAACATTCAAAGTCAGGTCACTGCCCGTATCTTCTAGAAGCAGCACTTGGAAAATGTGGATTTAAGAATGCATGGTAAGGCAGACAAATTTGCTCAAGTACTCAGCACCTGTTACCTCCGTCAACTTTAGCAGGTGCTCAGCATTCAAAGTCAGGTCACATGCATTTATTATCTAAACCTGAGATCTGGACAGTCTCCATATGCAGCCAAAGCTGAAAAAAGTTGAGTTTTAATACCTTTTCTTGTTTAAATGGCTCTGAGGGGGATGCAGGGAGAAAAAAGTAATACTTCAAGTACTTACGCAACTTACAGAATCACAGAATATCAGGAGTTGGAAGGGACCTTGAAAGCTCCCCCAGTGCAACCCCTGCCAGAGCAGGATCACCAGAGCAGTCACACAGGAACACGGCCAGGGCTTTGGGTGTCTGCACACAAGGAGACTCCACAACCTCTCTGGGCAGCCTGGGCCATGCTCTGGCACCCTCACACTCACAAAGTTTGTCATCTTCAGCTTGAACCTCCTGTGCTCCAGCTTGGGACCATTGCCCCTTGTCCTGGCATTGGACATCACAGAGCAGAGCCTGGCTCCTTCCTCCTGACACTGCCCTTTCCCAATGGATCCCCAGGAATGAGGGCACCCCTCAGTCTCCTCTGCTCCAAGCTAAAACTTACCTGCCTCTTATATTCTGTCATTGGATCATAAACTTTCCAGCCATTAACAGCAAACTTTTCTTTATAGCTGAATGCAAAAAGAGGCTAAAGAAAAGAAGGCAAAGACAGGAATTACTGTCTGATTGGCTGTTAGCACAACAAGCTCCAAAACAGTAGACCTTACAGTATTTCAAATGTAACACTTCTAAAACTTTTTAACAGCAGGCATAAAACCTGGACAACACTGTATTAGAAAGAAAATGAAACAATTTCCTCCTTCAAGTATGTGCTATATAATTAACCAAGCATAAAACCAAAAGAGAGAGTTGAAGTTACCTGCCTGTGACCATACAACACATGAATGGCAAAGCCAGGATGAGAAAACTGAGTCTCTTACCTCCCAACCATGACCATGGAAGTTTAGTCATACAAGTAGATTAAATAGCATTCTGCAGCTAACTAATAATAAGACTAATTGTACCTATTCACTGTTTATAGACAGACCTTCTAGACTGAATTATCTGCTGCAGAAATAAGAGTCAATACATTCTTGTTTTTAACTGGCAACGTTGGCAAATCAAGATCTCAAGGGTTAGGTATAACTAACTTCACCACAGCAGGACATAGCACAATGTTTTACGAATGAAAGCAAAAAGGAAACAGGGTCAGAGTAGCTTGCCCGCTCTGTAACAGGTTTTATGAATCAGTATTTCAATGTTTGTTATACAGCTCCTGTATTTCCCCACCTACACTTCTCAAAAAGAGGAGAGCCAGTGACAGTCCTCTCTACATCTTAACACTTACCAGCCCATTAGAAACAGGAAATGCGCGTTTCACAAGGTTCTCAAAAATCTCCAACCTGTTCTGCTCTTCCTGTCTATAGGCCAGCCGCAAATTTCTCATATCCTGTAAAAAATAAATTAATTCTTTTACTCTATGATAAATTAAACAAAAAAAGGCAGCTACAAGAAATTTGACTGAAGGGTCACTGTCTGTAAGCATTCATATCAGATGACTAGGGTTGTCATTAGAGTTGCTAGATATCATAAAAATAGCCATTTTTCCTTTGAATTCACTGTTGGGACAAAAGGCAGAAGTGTTTGAGACTGCAAGTATCATAACAGGAATTGAAATACATTATTTAAATGAAGCAGGGTTCAAACACAGGGAACTGATCAGACAGAAAACCAGCACATGTGCGTGCAGATTCCCCTTCCAGAAGAATGAAATGAAAATACATTAATAAGTACAGAACAAATCTGTCCTATGCCATACCTTGCAAACTATTTCTATACCACACGAGTTGTCTCCGTGGCTCTGTACTCCAATTTTTTCAACTCTACTTATGACTCCAAGGGGGACGTCAACAACGAAAGGTGGATCCTGAAATACGTATATAAAAGAAATCAACTTTGCTACAGGAGGAGGAACACAAACTAACATTATTCGTGTATATTTCATTAAACTGTATTTCCTCTTCAATAGATTGCTGTGGGACATCATACTTACACTGGATTTGCCACTTTCTGAAATCTACTTCAGCAACACTCCCGCCTGAAACAATGTGCAGACAGACAGCGAAGTCTTACCCTTTCCACACTTTTGATATACATTCTGAAGTCCGTCACTGTTAGCGTACCACTGACTGCTCCCATAAATGGACAGATATACATAACATCTTTAGCTGGAAAACAGACCAATTAAAGCTTTGTTTTACTATTATAGACATTGTTCCATTAAAATCCATTTAAAAACTCCATTTCAAAACAGCAAGAGTTTTGCAGTTCCGTAAGAGTTTGATGCTTGACCTCTACAGGAAACCCTACTGTCCAGATGCTGTCAGGACTGAAAGAGCTGTCTTTATCTCAATAATGGGAAAAGTGGAATTCCTTGATCCCACTGCTGTTCAGGAGTTACTGAGCAACTGTGGCTGGGCTGAGCTCGCATGGGTTGCAGTGAGGGCAGGCAGGTGACTTCCTCTCAGTGAGGGTGACAGAGCCCTGGACCAGGCTGCCCAGAGAGGTTGTGGAGTCTCCTTCTCTGCAGACATTCAAAACCCGCCTGGACGCCTTCCTGTGTAACCTCATCTGGGTGTTCCTGCTCCGGCAGGGGGATTGGACTGGATGAGCTTTGGAGGTCCCTTCCAATCCCTAATGTTCTGGGATTCTGGGATTCTGTGTGATTCTGTGACAAAGCACCCTGCTGGCATTCGTAGCTGCAGACAGCTCTGGTCCCTGCCCCAGGTGTGAAGCACCCACAGCCACCTCCTCAGAGGGAGAGCAACCAAATGGGCAGTAACCGATGTGCCCGCAACTGACCTCCAAGTAAGTCAGTTAAATGCCTGCATCTTCATTTTCACTTTTAATTGCAAGAGCTAATATTCTTTCCTAGCTAAGTCCTACACTACTAACACAGAGCCTGCCATCACAGGCCAAAGTGAAATAAGTTTAAGAACTGGAAACAAAGTTTTCTATAACTTTTTCTTCTTTGCTATCACAATTTTGAAGCTTTGGAATCTGTGAAGTATCCTCGGCACCACTAAGCAGAAACAGAATCTGTACACCTATGCAGAACAAACTAGCCCTTGAAAAAATAAAGTAAAATACAGTAAAGTAAA